CCCCAAAACCCCAAAACCCCAAAACCCCGCAATTCTATAAAATTATATAGATAGAAGAAATTGTTTTAGATCAAAGTTAATTAAAGTATGGGTAAGCAAAGTTAAAGTATATTTGAATAATAATATTTGTTTGTGCTGGTCTATAATTATAGAAAACCTAGTTATGAAGTTAGATTCATGATTCATGCGAGAATTCAAATTTCATGTTGAAAATCAAAAGAATCTTGGTAAAATTGGTTTAGTTGATTGTTTTATTTATTTCTTTAGTTTGATGATTGATGTACTGAGTTATGTCTTTTCACTTAATATTCCATCATCTATATCTTTTCACAGTCTATTTCATATGAATATTGACAGTCTAAGGCACATTATTCTCCAGTCTAAAAGTATTAGCCTTAGTTTATCTTGAGATTGTAATCGTTCAATGGCTCTTAATAGTAACTATACCTCTCCTTAGAACTTTCAGAAAGATATTGAGACACATCACTCATTTCTTGATCTCTATACTAGTTCTCATTTATGTACTCATTTTCTTCATCAGCAATAAATGAGGTAACATCCAAACAAGAATCTGATGAGGATTATTAGTACATTAAATCTAGTTTTTTACTATGATTATCATAAGACTCACTGGTAAAATTTGTTTAGGCACTATCTTTTCTAGACTACAATGAAAAATTCTAATCGATGTCTTAATCCATATTAAAAATGGAGTCTATACTATTTTTGCGTGAGATCTTACTGTTATTTTAATTAAGTTAAGCAAGTTGTGTCTAAGTTTAGAATTATTGCTACTTTTTCCAAGCTAAAAATTGCTTGAACTCATCCTAGGATATTTAAACTTATTATAATTATCTTAAAGGTCTAAGGCTGCTCCAGGTGTCTGTTGAGCCTTCTTCTGAAATTTAAGTATCCTTTGAGACTTTTGTTACAAGAAATATATTCTTGTTTCTGGATTTTTTCTCCCCGCTATTGCTGAGAGATTATAGAACTTGACTTAATTAATTATTTTTTATAGTGCTATCTTAGTAATTGTATTAACTTTCCCTTATTTATTGCTTTTATACATGACTAACCTCAAATAAATCTTTAGTTCTTGTTTATTATAAGGTTTTATTAATACTACTCGAGAAGATTGAGGGATCCTCTTGAACTTAAGATATTCTGTTAGAGCATGAAAACATTTGTGGTACTTTCTCTCTCTTGATATCGAACAATTGATTTTTCTTAAACTGATAGAGCTCTTCTTGTTTGAGTTTATCCTTAGATATAGGATGTTTCTTGAGACTCCACAGTGCTTAAATTTTATCAAATTATGTCTTGCTGCTATACCTATCTTTCTGTCTTGAATTGTAAGATTCAAGAACTTTGTAAATGTCAAGGTCTTTACAGGTCTTTCTCTTCTTTAGTTTATTGAAGAACTTTTGGGCATGAGACCTAATCTACTGCTCAGAGCGTGAATTAAGACTCTCAAAGACCATTCTCCAATTTTTACCATAAGTTCTAAGTGCATCAATGAATTTATCGTGCTCTTCATTGCTCCATCTACCAAAGCTTAATCTCTATTGCTTCAATCCAAATCCTGGATTAACTTAGAAGACTATCTCTCTCGGGGTGGATGTTTCAGAAGATAGATTACTTATTGTGCTAATCAATTTTTGACATTTCTATATTTCTAGCTGATCTTACACTTTATTACCGCATTCTCCAAATTTCTCTAAAATTCCTTCAATATCCTCATGTAATAGACTTTATTCAGCTTTCATCGCATTGCTCTTTCTATTATCTTCCATGATTTAGCGTCTGTCTTGCTCATTCATGAGTATATCAATGGCAGTATTGTTATTTTCATGTTATTTGTTAATCTTTAAAGTCATTTAATCATTGTTTAATGCATCACAAAGAATCACCTTTTTCTCTTTGTTTAACTAATTGATAGACGCGCAGATAAGGCTAACTCCTGTATTTCTAGACCTCTTATTGTTTCCAAGCTTCATTGTTTAATTCTTGCAAGTAATATGTGCTGGTTAATTGATGATTTGAGTTTGATTTGTGAGTTTCATGTTTTATGGGAAGATTTGTGATTTAAAGATATTTATTCTACTAATTTTTAATTGACTTAAATTCTGGTCCCTAGATTATTTAGTCCGTAATAGTATTTTATAAGTTGAAGCTTTAAAAAGCAGACATTATATTAATTTGATCTATCTTTATAAATTTTATAATTTAATAAAATCCTTTATTATAATAATAATATATATCTTTTAAAAATAAAATTTAACTCTTTACTCAGAAATAGGCACTTATGGTCAATTGGGGTTTTGGGGTTTTGGGGTTTTGGGG